AATTTTATTTTAGTCGTATTAGAAACAAGTAGAAGTTGTTTACATGCATATGTGTTAAGGGGAATCCACTCTCGCTTAATATGTAACTTTAAGTCCGTTAGAATTTGGTTGTGATACAATGATTAGTTGATTGATTGAAACACTTACTTACTAATTATCTAAGTAACGTGTAGCTAGATGATTAATTGATTAATCAACTTGCTTAAAACCATTTAAGCAGTGCATAAAGGAAGATATAAACAAATTAATAAATAATAAGACAAACCAATCTATCTATCTATCAATTGGTTACCCAATCAATAAAGTAATGTGGAAATCAATTAATTAATGGGTTGATAAATTAATACTTTTTTGATTAATTATGAAGAATAGTATCTACATGCACACGTTAAAAAAAACCGTGCACCTATAGCTCAGAGAATGACAAACACTTTGAAATGACTCGTTTCTTTCCTCAGTTTTCCAGTACGAGTACACCTTAGTCGGGAATAGCACGGCAGGGAGAGTTGAAGTATACTACCCTAGCTCCTATTCCGGTACCAGTGCCGGAGACTGGGGGACTGTCTGCGATGACAACTGGGACGACACTGACGCCATGGTATTCTGCAGATCGCTCGGACTTAACTATAGAGGGGCGGTGGCTTTGCGTGGGAGCCAAGTGAAGGACGCGTTCGGGAAAGGGACCGGTCCCATCTGGTTCGACGAGGTGGACTGTGATGGCTCTGAAACCGAAATCGGGCAGTGTAATCACGATGGTCTTGGATATAGCGATTGTACTCACGAAGAGGATGCTGGGGTTGTTTGCCAATAGTCGCGAAATAGCAGTCAACAGCTCAAATTCTTTTTACCCTTTTGTGACGTCAGAGGTTTATTCGTGTACACGTCAGTGGCGGATTTAGGGGGGGGGGCAGGGGGTTCTGACCCTTCCCTCTTTGATTTCTGAAAAAAATCACACCAATGGTCCCCTCTTGAAATGAGAATTTTAACCAGCTAAATCATAGTTCCAAATGGCACAGTACGCCCTCTAAAACCCCAATTTTATTTCGGGGCCCTTCACTGGGTCCCGAACCCCACGCCAGGGGGGGGGGGGGGGTGAGGGTCGGCTTCGCATCCGTGGACCCTCCCCCCTTTTAAATAATCCTGGATCCGCCCCTGCACGTGATGTGATTTTGCCAACGGATGTTACCCTCTGTGTCAAACTTACAAAATTAACGCTGTGATATGTACATGTATAGGGAATATTCAAAACTGGAGGATAAACGAGAAGAAATCATGGACGGATCTAACCAGTATGGCTATTTTGCAACGTCTACTCAGAGCCAAGATAAATTAGTAGGAATCCAATAAAATTGAATGTTATGGCTGTTGTTCATTACAAATGTCATTCAAAAAGTTTTTATATATATATTATAAGTGGATCTACATGTTTCTGAAATTTACATAGCAATTTTTGTCTAGAAGTTCAATCCCATTTGGGGCTTAAAGAGGATCGATACTTTAGGATACTTTCCTTGTACGCGTACATAATGAGGATGATAACATTGTCGTGTTATGAGATGATGCTGTCACATTAATAATATATGGGTGTGAATATGCGAATTAGAGCTGATGACGAACTGGCAACAACAGCCTTTTAAAGTAAAACCAGTTCTATCGACATCAAAAGATCTCCATAAGCTAAAAAGCTATCAGCACTGTTTTATTGCCTATATAACCACAGTAATATATACTCCAATTAATTCTCATGATTTATCCCTTCAAGTCTTACTTGGTCTATAAGTTATTTTTTTCTCACCTCCGCCCAAGAGGTTATGTTTTTTAAAAAATCTATTCACAATTAAAATTGTGTGTCTGTTCATTTGTCACCGTAATGGATGGATATTAATGGCATTTTCGGGGTATGTCTAAAATAAGCTAACGAAAAAGTAATAAGAAATCTGGTGACGATCCATTAATAAAATAATGGTTAAGTCATTTGTTAAATAGTTGTCGATGAGGAGGTCAGCGCTATCAGGACGCTTTTCTAATTTTTATAACAATGATGATAAGATAAGTATTTCACATAAAAAAAAACGAAATAAAAGTTTTCCGAATGCAGGCCTTTGTAACGTATCGATTTTTCTTAAGTCAGTTAGTGAAACCCGCCACATAATTAAGTTTAAGTTATGAAAATGCAGCCGAGGTCGCAATAAGATTTCACCACACAGCGTCAGTGTCACAACTGTAGCATTCCTATTGCTTATAGTCTTTCGCCTGCTAAAATGTGTTTAAGCCTGATCACAATTGGCTTAAACACATTTTACACATTCAACTTATCATCTATACCAGAATATGTAACGAGACTACGGAGACATTTCGAAGGTGTGTTCCAGTCAAGCATTGGTTCGTAATTTCTGAATTCATTCAGGGTCGTAGCCTGAGCAAAATGCCAGGGGGGGCAGTAAGCGGACACGAGGGGGTAAAGCCCCCGAGGGGGAGGGTGTGGGAGGTCCCCCTCCCACGGTGTGGAAATTTTTTTAAAACTATATGTAGGCCCCTATAATACTGCATTCTGGTGCATTTTAACTGTTATTTATTGCTCAATTAGAAGTCAGAAATTGCGATTATTTTTTTGCACCTCAAATCCCAGGGGGGGCAGCTGCCCCCCCTGCCCCCCCGGAGGCTACGGCCCTGTCATTTGCAAACTACGGGAATGGAAATTGGTGAAAGCTTCTCTTGGCTTTTCGGTGATATTCATGTCTGCAATTTTTTTTTCTTTTCCTTTCCTTTTTTTCTGTGCATTGGCGTCACTGTATGATATAATAATACGTATGGTAATAATATTATAGTTGTCAAAATTTCTTAAAATTTCAAAGTTTCTTATCGGGCTTTAAAAACGAGTAGGGGAAAAAAGTAAAAATAAAATTAAATAACCCACACATTTTTCAATCCGACGATCCGACAATAAAGAACGGCCTTTCACTTGTATATAAAAACGATGTCAATAATTGTAAATAATAGGACCATGTATGTCAAATTTGAAAGCACTTTAAAGATACATTTAATTCCTGTGTATTGGTCGGTCTTATTAAACCACTGAGCTCGTTTCGCAGTCACCGAAGATTATTAGGTTACTCGTTAATTTTTGGGGCTTGTTTATATTCTATCTATCTATCTATCTATCTATCTATCTATCAGTTTTGCATTGTTCATATACAGGAAATTTGTGATCAGCACGTAATATCTCGGATTTAACGTAATAAGATACATTTATAAGACCATCTGTAGTGGAGACGAACTAGAAACATTTACTTTAACTGTGCTAAAGACCCAAAATGAGTAAGCATTCATGAACATTGTGTACAAGTATTTGCTATGTAAATATCTTATTCCTTGCAAGGCTACTTCACAACTGAGTAGCAAAGTTAATAATGGGATCATATTTGCTCAGTGCTGAATTGAATCAAGCGTCTTAGACGACCTCGCGTCTATTTGTTGGTCACTATAGTCCGGTCTCCAAATATTTTTGAAAGTATTCATAGCACTTACAGTGATCGGCTAACGTTTTGTGATGGATACAATTCAAAATCCCACTGCATTCGCATTTTTGTCGTAACGGGTTCGAGACTTTTTAAAGGGGATTTCACTTGGAGGCCTCTCCAGTGACAGAAGTTCATTTTCTTTTATTTAAATGAGTCAAGGGTGCTTGGAAAAAGTGGATAAATCGCCGGTATTTTCGTTTGGAACTCAGTGCAAAAATAAACGGTGTGACGAACTTCACTGTATTTCCCAATATGATTGTGATATAGGGTGTGGGTTTAACAAAATTCAGTTCGGCATGGTGATTTGCAAAGAAATATGGAGACACTGTATGGGCGCTCACATATGCGTGTAGATCCGCGCTTGCGTTGAAATTCTGCAAGAGGTCCGACACCATCTTATATTCCCTGCTTCAAATTATTATTGTTGTTTGATAATTAGTTATCATATCATCATCGAAGTCAAATTTTATACTTCCCTTCTACTTCATAAAGTTTGTATTGTTGTCTTGGTTTTTGTATTAATAAATAATAATATTGTTAAAAATTGGCAGCTGATTGGATTTAGATGTATGTCCGCTCCAGTGAGCTTCAAGTGGATCCAAGAGAAAACATTTGCTTGGGCCGTATATTACCGGGGCATTGTTCTGACGTCAGAGGGACTTTGGACGCCCAACAGACCTTGGACAAAAAGAACTCAAAACACTGTGAAAGGTAGAATTAACGGACATTTACGCAGTTTTGTTTAGCATGGGACTGCATCGATTCATGGGCGCTAACCTAACATTCCCATACAAAAAGGGCTGCTTCATTCACACGGGAAGGATTTGACGAGGTAGTATCGATTCAAGCACACACACACACACACACACACACACACACACACATGTCACATACATGCAGATATTGATGCATAACATAAACACTTAATCACAAAATCTCATGAAAGGCGGGGTGTATAAATTTGTCGGGAGCAATGGAATCAGTTTTGGGCTAGGAGCAGTCTGTTAATAAAGCTCGACACCATCCGCTTTTATCTATGCTGCATGTTATTAACAAAATGAAGAAACTTTCAAAAACTAGGTATATCGATGGTTTATAAAACTGCATAAAATATGTGTAATTCCAAATTTTTTTCCTACAGATAAATTATACTGTATTAGTATGACATGAAGAAAAACGGAGCACAAACCAAACACCTGATTCGGTTCAAACGCGGTCTTTAAATTTTTCGGACGTGAACACAGCAATCCTTGCAATAATTGTGGCACAGGTAACGCTTTGTTACGTCTCTCGCCCTTTCGCCTCTATTACGTTTGTTTACTAACATGCCCAGGGTTTTCAGTGGCAACCGTGTGTAAACAAGTCTTTTTTGAAATGTTTTGCTTTCTCTTGTGTTACTTTTATTGTTGTTTAACGGGGGTTTTACGCAGTGAAAGGGACTGTGTATAAGAAGTAGGACATTCGGGAACTTATCCCCTCCAATCTCGGAGCCAAAGGGAGACGTACATGTAGTTGCGCGTTGCGCGACAAAATCAAAGGAGAGGCGGGCTTATAGATTAGGATATTAAACCACTTGATTTTGAAATAAGTAGATCAAACTGTTGAACGAAACCCTTGCGAGCCAATTAGGATAATTTACGACTTGATTTGGAGATAAATAGAAAAGTCTGTCGATCGAAACCACATTAGCGCCGATTAGGTGGTAACCACGGCACTTGGATTTGTAGTGAAAAGGGACTTAAGCGACTTTACGATTGGTCTTGGACATAATAACGTAAGAAGTCAAATTTGGTCTCTTAGCATACGAACAGTCAGGTCTGTTCACGGTCTGCAAAGAAACTGACAGAAAAGGGTTGAAATCAGGAAGCAGGTACTGGCTTTGGGGAAAGTGACTCAGCAAACAGGGGACATTGGACCAATAGAAGCTGATCGCTTGCAGGAAAAAAAATGTGGAGCATTTACATGACAGGTAAGTTATGGTGTTTGCTGCAGTGTGTTCTTATAATCAAATTATGTTTTAATTTTAAACCTTCCAGATTTACGCCCAAATGACATAAAAGGACAAGTACGCCTGGTTTTCTTAACCTGTTCCTTGTCCAATGATTGACCATTGGTTTTATTTAAGACATTCGTTAACCAACACTTGTGTTGGTACTGTCATTTAATACCGTGTAATGTCAAATTGCGGGAAGCAGTTTATGAAAACATCTCACTGGATGAAGATAGAGTTAAAATAACGGTGTCTCCCTTCTCATACTAAGTCAATATAGCTATGAAAGTTCAAGTTTCATAGTTCAAATAAATGCCAAGTAAATGGTTTGTAGCCAGCAATTCTAAACGCGTTGTTTATTTTGTGAAGTTACCCTTGCAGCAGAAAACATCGTTGGACTGCACTGTAGGCCTGTAGTAGGCCTAGTGACGAAGAATATATTTCTTGTATTTCATTTATCACCTTTACTGTTTCTTCATCTAAATATTTTCTGAAGTAAACCATTATCTTTGCAAGGGCAATCCATTCAGTTTTAGTACTATTTTGCTATTTTTAAATAAATAAAATAATTCGGTTATTTCAGCGCTGGTATTTGCGTTGCTGGGGTCAGACGTAAGCAGGCTTCCCGAAGGTAAGACTCTCTCTCTCTCTCTCTCTCTCTCTCTCTCTCTCTCTCTCTATATATATATATATATATATATATATATTTATTTCCCGCCCCTAAAGTCCCCCTTCCTCTCATACCGATTGGGCATTATATGGTACGAAATGTGTTTTTTTTATATACGGACTTAGTTTTTGATCTGTGTGACCATAGAACTGATACCAACAGACATTATATTACAAAAACATTTGATAATATTAACCCAAAGCAATCAAGTGGCAAAAACATTTGTTAATGTATTCGCCAACTAGTGATAAGAAAACAGAAGAGGAAATGAAAAATTCACAACGGTATTTATTCTGTCTGCTGAATCTGAAATACTGTAGCTTTTATTTGAGCCTCTGTCCAGACACACATATTGATTACAATCCTTTACAGTATCTGTGATCACAATGGCGCTTTATCAAAAGCTTTCCTCGTCGCAAAGAGATGATTCGGGTGCATTTCAAAAGGTCTTTTTGAGATCGAAGCTTGTCAAGTGTTTTAACAAAACAAGTCGGTGCTGAATAATACAAATCAGGCGTTTCAAACATATTCACCACACATTGCTTTTACTCCTGCTGCAGTGTGTACTTGGTAAATGTAATATTTAGATATTATCACAAAAGCAATGGAAGGCGTCTTTTTACCAGACAAGTATACAGCGCAGGCACGTGATTTACATCGATGGGATCGACAGACAGGAAAACGAAAATGGAGAGAAAAAATGCCTATAATTCGGAAAACATCATCAGTGGTTGACACTGTGTTACTTATACCGTGTACCATGCCATGAACCTTTGCGCCGTCCAAATATAATGGATTACAGGTAGGAAATAATAATAATAATAATAATAATAATAATAATAATAATAACAATAGGCCTAATGACAAAATAGTAAGGCGCCCTCAATGACCAATACGAAAATGTATTTCGTTTTCTAAAATCTGTAGAATGATTCGAGCACCTGAAATTGAATATTTTCTAGTTTCTCTTGTTTTTTATTTCACATATTTCCCAAATTAAAAAGAAAAAGATGTAAAAAGGAGAAGAAGGAGAAAAAGAAGAACATTTACTGTATTTTTTCCAAGCGACGCATCGTTTATTATTAAAAACCTAATCTTCTAATGTGAGAGTACCGATTAGAAATGTGTATTCACTGCTGTTTATTTAGCTTCTCAGTAATTATAGATCTAATAGGAATCAATCGTCCTCGGATGTTTCGTCAATTGGGGCATCAACTTCTGGCTACATAATCCGTTAAGTAATTAGCAGCTCATTTTCTAAACTTGGGAAAACGACAAATGTCCCAAGCTGTGTAGATATATTTAATTGGAACCCTCGCAATAAAAGAGTTATAGGGCCCCATTCTTATAGATATCATCGGTCTACGCAGTTCGACCCAACTCCGCAAGGACTCTCGCTGAATGCAATTAGTTTAACAAATAAACACGCCTCCTCCTGTAGAATTCAGAAAAGCTGGTGACTATACGAGTATTGAGTACATTGGAAATAAACAATAGGATCATTCAGTTAAGGTGATAGTAGTCAGCAAGAGTCCCCGAAGAGTTGGATCGATCTACGTAGATGGATGTGGCTGTGGAAATGGGGTTTAAGCCTGCGAATCAAACGAGTCATTGGTGGTGCTCACTTTGCTTTGAGAGCCGATAGATTTAATTGCGTCACATGACGTCACACACGTGATCAGCGAAATAATGATGCTCGTGATTCAATAGCTGTAGCATAATGGACTCGAGTTCCGTTGACGCAATTAATTCGATCGTCGGTGTGAGTGCGCCTGTCTGAGGAATGTAACCGCCAATTAAGTTATCTGTAATCTATCCATTTTAATTATTAATGGAGTGACTATCATGTTCTATTCAATGTTCTGTTTAATCCGGAAAAAGGCGACGGTCATCCGCTGGTAAAAGCATGTCAAACATATCCTGAACTAGTCAATAGTTTGAGTAGGATTTGGAGAAGAGTTGGATACTAATTGGCGTCTGACTTCATCGTGCAAGTTTCAAGCCAAGTTACACAGCACTTAAAGATGCGTATAAAGTCATTTTTGTAACATAAAGCCAGAATATTTTTTCAAATAGTATAAATTAGAGAATTACTAAAACACTGTTTAATAGCACCTGAAAAAAGGATACTTGAACGGATTTTTCTGCTAGCTTTCTATGTTGTATTTAAATGGGGCATACATTGTAAAAGTAGATCAGATAATAATTGACAAGTAGGTTAAATATCTGACCAAAAATAAAGGAGTAATTTATTCAGTTTATTCCTTGGCATGACGACTTAATTTGAGTCGTATAAGAAACTAGTAGAAGTGGTTTATATTTGTTACTGGGAATCCACGCTCCACCGACGCTCGGTTCATATGTACCTTTAATTGATGAGATAATATTTTCTAGGTTAACAAATGTACAGTTGATATACTGCAATTGAGGGGGAGGGGGGGCATGGTGTGCTTAGAAAGAAGTCACGACCCTAATCTTGTCCAATTAATTTCAACAATAAATGCACTTTCTGCTCCCGTGTTAAGCTGTATGCGTATTTCAGTTATATCTATTATTTATTTCTGTCACACGTACTGGGTATTCATTAATTGGCCAAAGGTAGTGACCTGTTAAAGCTGTATTGGCTGTGGGCACGATATGTGTTTAACCTTTAATCAAGACCCTGCCTCCTAAAGAAACTTGAGTCGAAACTTGTTTTTTTTTCAAATTTGGGATAAAAAAATCCAGTCCGGCCCCTTAAGACAAAGCTAAAGTTTTAAAGCTAGAGTAAAGAACCACAACGATGTCGATTTTAGGATATTAGCTAAAGCTATTCCTTCTCTAAGGCATTGATATCCATTGTTTTAAATGCTATTGTTCCCGTTTTAATCGAATGGTCATTTTCTGTATTTATTTTGCAGTTACTAGTACGTGTTTCGGATATATTTGTACCTACAGAACTTCTGAAACAAAAAGAAACCTTAAAGGACTTCTTACGCAACTGTTGATATCATGCTGTGTAACGTATTGATCAGAAGATCAATCGCTTTTCAAGATCAATAATCAGGTATCAATTGTGTATACATAGGCAAAAGGCGGTATACTTCAGTTTTGTTGCTCTCAAAGACACTTTCTCGCCGTTTTAAGTTCAATACCTCTTAGAGCTCGGGGTCGTAAAATAAAAATGATCTTAACATATCCTTCATCATCATCATCATCATCATAATAATAATAATAATAATAATAATAATAATAATAATAATAATAATAATAATAACTGCAGTAGGCACCTTGGATGATTCTTAGTTCTTTGGCCGCCAATCTGATATTATTTCACGTTGACAGGATTGTTGATATTTTGGTGTGGGCACTGAAGCAATGACACACCTGCTACGTTTCATTACACGCACGTGCTCGCAAAAGTGAAAATTCGTATTTCAATAAGTAAAAAAAAAAAAAAAAAAAAAAATTCTTACGTTGAATGACAAAATGTGGGAGGCATGTTAGAAGCGCTTTAATTTAAAACATTTTAATAAATTAGAAAATGTGGCCCAATCCTTGTGACACCTCTTGTGTAATTCATAACAACCCTGTCTGGCGCCTTTTATCAAAGACACAGAGCACACGTATCTTAACCCCAGAACGTTGAATAAAGAAATGCAAATTGAAATATACATACAACTATCAATGCATGAATAGAACACACAACGCTAGATCAATTGAAGATAGATTTTTTACATATTTTCCACCAACGGAATCAGATGTGAGCGTCATTCAAGCGATACATCTAAATCAATCGATTCGCCTTCGATCTTTCACTCAATACGGCATACTACCCTTTGTAATGCTACGCGGTACTCGGTCAATTCGAAATTGATTTAACTGCCATTGCCAAAACAGACACGGTTAAAGCAAATGCACGTTGCCTAAACGGGATTTTAACAAAACCAGTCTTAGTTTATGTTTTAACTCCTGTTTTAGCTTCAAGTGAACAAAGCTGTTAATTCGGATCGGGATACTACTAACTGGACCTTTCCAAAGAGTCAAAAATGGCGCCCAGATCATCAAGCGCTCTGGGAATTTTAACATCATCAGTAGTTCTGTTTTTAGTTCTATTAAATTTGGAACATTTTTCAGTCCATGGCGTAGCCGTAAAGGGAGCAGACGACGACCTGATCTCATATTTATTCACCAACTACACTAAATTGTCACGTCCGGTCGCCGACCCCAGTGAGACGGTAGAAGTAGACATTCAGTTTTATATCGAGAGATTGAATTCTCTGGTAAGTTAAGGATTATCAGAAAACTTACTGATTCAGCAAATGTGGATATGTAAATATGAGTTCATTTTACTTTTTTATAATCAAAACAATTATAAATTAAGTGCTAACTTGTAACTTGTAAGACTTAACAGTTCCATTCCATGTTGAGATTTCCGATCCAGATTTTGATACTGAAATATTGATCCACTTATTGTTCAGCTGAATCAATGGAGAAGTAATTTGGTTGTTTATTTTGTTTTATTGCCACTTGATCCATCCGTGAATTATCTTAGTACCTGGAATCATCTTATTATGTTCATGTGCTATAGCGAATTTACTTCTAATGCCTACTGCTTATTTTCTGACCACAGGGGTCGCTAGTATAGTCACTCACAAAATTGTTGGATCGACATGTATACTATACTATAGACCCTAGTGAAATCAGAGGTTACATGTACCTATTCCTTTGCTTTAGACGAACAAAGAGGAGAATGGGGACTCACCAACAAGCTTATCGATCCTCTTTCCTTTTTTTATATTAAAAAAACTACTTTAAATAGTCCCGAAATTCTGAAAAGAGGAGAAAAGGCAAGCAGTGACCCCAAACTAATTCCCAATGCATTCAGTTCAGAAAGAAAACGGTTTCACTTGTTATTAAAAAAGGAACACCCCCTTCCCGATAACATGTTAATGTTAAAACTGCATCAATCTACGAATACGTAAGTCCTAAGATTCTCGAATTATATTTATTAACTGACACATCAAGGGTCCAGTTTTATTAACAATGGATAGACACTTTCCACTGGATGGGAATAATTATCCTCTAACATTTATTTAGAAGGTAAAGAAACGTTTATCAAGCGTCAAATACTTATTTTCGTATCTGATATTGTTATTCAGTTGTTGAAATGACTGGTATTCTCAAGATTTTCAGAGGAAAGGGGGAGTGCATATATAGTAAGTATAGTGGGGTGCTGGTACATGTATGGAATAAATACTCTTATGTGGGAATGAAAACTGGTCGGTTGTGTCCCTTTTTATCCATTAACCTGATGTTAGAGTGGATATAAGGGGAAGGTATGGGTGGGGGGGGGAGGGGGGGGTAACGGCCCACTGTTCTTTCAGGATTTGCCACTGACATTTATTACAGTTTTTATCTTGTATTTTTATTTTTCACGTTTATGACACGTGCTTTCATAATTTTAGGACACATTGAACCAGATTCTGTACCTAAACGGTCACTTAGAGACGGTAAGCAATAACATTACATTATTGTTGCTAAATATGGGGCAATTCATGGTGAAAAGGGTAACCTTTTGTTTTTAAATAAAGTGGGCTTTGAAAGGGATTGGCGCCATTCATTTCGTTACAGTGCTAGTTAAAAATGTAGAGAAGTGTTTTTTTTTATTTTTTCATCAAAGATATACGATAGAAAAACTTTACTGAACTTAAGTCTCATAAGCCCTAAAGTATACCACTTTACATGTTGTGGCGTATGAATCCATGAATAGACCGACTTACGAACACAATGTCGGAAAAATACTCGAGGTCCCTCGGTACATGTAGCTATGTGTCAACTGTTTTTCAGAGCTGGACCGACCACAGGTTAATATGGACCCCAGCCTCTTACGGCGATATAAAACAACTTGCACTAAGAGCTGACCAAGTATGGCTGCCAGATATCGCAGTTGAGAATAAGTGCGTATTGTCACAACCACGAACAGTGCTTGTCACCTCTAACGCAATTATTGTTTTCATTTTCCATCAGACGATTGCAAGTATAAGCTTCAAGACCATAGATATATCATCCTTATCTTTATAGGAATTTTACTCTTTGAATGAGATTCAAAATTGCACAAAAATACATTGTAAACAACATAGAAATATAAAATTCCTATTACCACTAAGGCATATGCGCGGTTATCGGACCACGTAGACCTTCATAATATGGCCACCCTCCGTAATAGTCTCCTAAGAGATTATTTTAAAACCATTCTTAATAAATCAACTAACTTTGAATGTCGGAACAGATTTATTAACCATTGGAAACTTTGGGGAAAAGTCATTTACCCCAGGAAAAGCCGTTTTAAGTCATTTTTCGTGCTAAAGTTAAGAGTTGTCATCCCTTTAGCTATCTTCCATAGAAACAGCGTGCAACCGCATATAGTAACATACTTCATTCAATACTTCAGTGCCGGAACGCCGTTTACAAGCGACTACTACCAGAGTTATTATCCAGTGGAGGTGTATTCCACGGGGAAAGTGATATGGCATCCTGCAGGAGAATTCGCGAGCAGGTAGATGTTATAATTGATGAGCGGCTGTGAGAGAAAATACAAAGCGTATAAGTACACATGTATAATTGAAACATCCGCTTAATATCTGATGATAAATGTATTGTATATATTTTTACAGTTCACTGCATGCCATAGACTAATGCATTCATAATAATAATAATGATAATAATGATAATAGTGATAATAACAGTAATAATGAGTATTATACTTAACAGTTTGTTTTGAATTTATTTGTTTCTACGTATATACTATCACTTTTGAGACTATATCATAATACAGGGGTGTAAATTACTGTGACTTGATTTAAGCGGTATGTAAAATTCTACAAAAAAAAAAAAAAAAAAAAAAAAAACTTAAGTTTGTCCTTCATTCTTAAGTTTGCCCTTCATTCTAGCTGTTTAATAGATCTGACCTACTACCCGTTCGACACCCAGTCCTGTGAGATGATCTGGGAGTGCTGGTCCAGTCTGGCTGAGGAGGTGAATCTGGCCGCCAACAAAACTACAATGGACCTCACAAAATATCATGTGAATGGTGAATGGGATATTACATCTACCTCAGTCAAAAGGTACGTGTTTTTTAACGATTTCTTTCATTCTTTTTTCTTTCCGGCGAATGAATGCACTGTATGCACTGTGCCACCAACTTAAAATCTAAAGCTGGTGACAAAATTGTCCCCTCTCTTTCTCTTTCTCTCTATCATAAAGTGTTCGTGTGAATGTGTGTTATTTTTGAATTATTGAAACCGTATTGACTGGATGTGGCTGAATCCCCTGTACCTTTCAGCATGTGACTTTGCCTATTCTAAATTTTCAGAGAGAACACTCAACACGCCGACACCAACGGCAGCTATTCCACTGTCCACTTTACCGCCATCTTGAAGAGAAAGCCTCTGTACTTCATCAATAACATCATCACGCCGTGTGTCCTGCTGTCTGTGCTGATGGCATTTGTATTTCTCATTCCTCCGGACGAGGGAGAAAAGGTACGATCTGGGGCAAGGCTATTCCCAGGATTGGGGGTACAAGACCTCCAAAATTACCACCTGTAATTTCCTATAAAATGTCAGGGAGTTCAAGTATGCCTAAAGCCGTCGTATTTCTTAAAAGTCCATAAGCCGTCCAGTAGTCTTTGGAAATAAAGGCCGTCCGGTGCTGCTGGCGGCCGTGCAATTGACGGCTGGGCGGTTTGCTGGGAAAACCCTTGATCTTGTTGGTGGGTGGATTTGGATTTGGATTTGAACCCAAGGGAAAGCTGTCCCCCCTTTTCACAATATTAATTGGCTTAATTTGTTCCGCTGCCACTGAAGGGAGGGGGAAATGCCTCAAAACAGTGTACATGTATGTCCTAGTCTAAGCACCGAAAAACAGACTGGAAAAAAGTAACTGTCTTCTCCGACCTTATCTTTATTTACATTATACATGCATATTTATCTTTCCTATTTCGCAAATGTTTATTCATGATTCATGTAAATATTGACAAAAAATTCAATCAGACTCAATATACACCACTTGAATTGATAACATTTTAATGTTGTTTTTGTACTTCTCAGATCGGCTTGGGGCTGACTGTGCTCCTGTCATTCAGCGTGTTTCAACTCATCGTATCGGATAGCTTGCCCAAGTCGTCCGACCAGTCCCCCATCATCAGTAAGTCGCCTCATCACGAGTAACATTCCAATGCAAAACCTCACTTGTGCTTGAAACTATTAAGTTTATTTGAACACTGTTTGTTATATTGATATTTCTATCATGAATGCAAATGTATCTTAATGAAAGTTTTGTTGTTAAACTGAAACTTTTTTGAATGATAATAACGATAACAGAAATCTGTTCTAAAATTGTAACCATGCAGGTACGTGTGTCACAAATGTCCCGGTGTTGTCCGGTTTTTTCTTCTCAGTTTTGCCATTTTCCATACACACGTGTCACAGTTGTCCTAATCTTGTCCGGGTTGTCCTTATTGTTGTCTGCCTTTTTTTTCAGGCACATGTGTGACATATGTCCCAATCCTGCCAGGGTTGACCTTAATAATTAATTTGACATAATTCAGGAGCACACATATACGGCACATGTGTCCCAGTCTTGTCCTGTTGTTCTAATCAGTTTTGCCATTTTCCAGGCATTTATGTCACCGTTGTCCTAATCTTGTCCGGGCTGTCCTTAACCGGGACAATGTTGGTGTTTGTGATTCACTTCCACGGCGGATCGAAAAAGGCGCCAAATTGGCTGAGAAAAGTAAGGCACAAGATACATTGTCTTAGGTGTGATAGATCATGCATTGAATACATGTATAACTTTGTAGTGTGTATGTACATGTGAAGGCATATGATGCACCTTACGACTCTATTACAAAATAATGATATTTTTCTTGCGTGTTACTGCATGTTATCAATAATTACATGCACCAAGATACGTTTTGTCCACAACTTTTACCCTAAATACCATCCATTCATCAGTTTAAAAGTCTATAAATTATTATTACTTGTGAAAGGTGACAGTTAAGTTGCAGAGCTAGTTTATATTAACCAACATTAAGACTTTCCATATGTATGGACTTGTATTAGAAGTGTGTATCTCATTCAGGCCTGTANAATAAAGGCCGTCCGGTGCTGCTGGTGGCCGTGCAATTGACGGCTGGGCGGTTCGCTGGGAAAAACCTTGATCTTGGTGGTGGGTTTGGTGGGTGGGTGGGTGGATTTGAATCCAAGGGAAAGCTGTCCCCCCCTTTTCATAATATTAATTGTCTTAATTTGTTCCGCTGCACTTGCCACTGAAGGGAGGGGGAAATGCCTCAAAACAGTATATGTCCTAGCTTATATAAGCACCGAAAAACAGACTGGAAAAAAGTAACTGTCTTCTCCGACCTTATCTTTATTTACATTATATATGTATATTTATCTTTCCTATTTCGTAAATGTTTATTCATGATTCATGTAAATATTGACAAAAAATTCGATCAGACTCAATATACACCACTTGAATTGATAGCATTTTAATGTTGTTTTTATACTTCTCAGATCGGCTTGGGGCTGACCGTGCTCCTGTCATTCAGCGTGTTTCAACTCATCGTATCAGATAGCTTGCCCAAGTCGTCCGACCAGTCCCCCATCATCAGTAAGTCGCCTCATCACGAGTAACATTCCAATGCAAAACCTCACTTGTGCTTGAAACTATTAAGTTTATTTGAGCACTGTTTGTTATATTGATATTTCTATCATGAATGCAAATGTATCTTAATGAAAGTTTTGTTGTTAAACTGAAACTTTTTGAATGATAATAACGATAACAGAAATCTATTCTAAAATTGTAACCATGCAGGCACATGTGTCACAAATGTCCCGGTGTTGTCCGGTTTTTCTTCTCAGTTTTGCCATTTTCCATACACACGTGTCACAGTTGTCCTAATCTTGTCCGGGTTGTCCTTATTGTTATCTGCCCTTTTTTTCAGGCACATGTGTGACATATGTCCCAATCTTGCCAGGGTTGACCTTAATAATTAATTTGACATAATTCAGGAGCACACATATACGGCACATGTGTCCCAGTCTTGTCCTGTTGTTCTAATCAGTTTTGCCATTTTCCAGGCATTTATGTCACCGTTGTCCTAATCTTGTCCGGGCTGTCCTTAACCGGGACAATGTTGGTGTTTGTGATTCACTTCCACGGCGGATCGAAAAAGGCGCCAAATTGGCTGAGAAAAGTAAGGCACAAGATACATTGTCTTAGGTGTGATAGACCATGCATTGAATACATGTATAACTTTGTAGTGTGTATGTGCATGTGAAGGCATATGATGCACCTTACGACTCTATTACAAAATAATGATATTTTTCTTGCGTGTTACTGCATGTTATCAATAATTACATGCACCAAGATACGTTTTGTCCACAACTTTTACCCTAAATACCATCCATTCATCAGTTTAAAGGTCTATAAATTATTATTACTTGTGAAAGGTGACAGTTAAGTTGCAGAGCTAGTTTATATTAACCAACATTAAGACTTTCCGTATGTATGGACTTGTATTAGAAGTGTGTATCTCATTCTTTGTAAATGCAAAGCATTAATTTCAACTTAATTTACTCCAGTTCTTCTTTAACGGCATCGCCTACATCGTGTGCGCGCGCAAGCAAGTTAAAACCCTCAGTGAAAACCAGGTGGAGCCACTTGATGGCGAGAAAACCGTCTCTGTCGTGTCCGTGTCCTCGACGGCAATGAAGGCAGCCATAAACCCCGGAGAAAAGAAAAGTCAGGAGGTTATACTATTGGAGCAGATTCTACTTCAACTAAAAAAACTCACAGACAAAGAAGCGGGAAAAACTGAGGACGATGATACAGCTGACGAGTGGGTTCTCATCGCCAAAATTCTCGATCGTTTCTTGTTTATGTTGTTTATTATTTCTTTGGTGGTTAGCACTACTGCTATACTTGGGATAATGCCGAATCATGGAGTTGTGCCTACTGCATAGATCATGATCAATAAAAGTCGTCTACGCTCGATGAAATTTCAATGGAAGTCGTCTACGCTAGGTGAAATTTCAATGGAAGTCGTCTACGCTAGGTGAAATTTCAATGGAAGTCGTCTACGCTAGATGAAATTTCAATGGAAGTCGTCTACGCTAGGTGAAATTTCAATGGAAGTCGTCTACGTTGGATGACATTTGACTTGATGGTTGCATGAATCTATTCCAGCGTCTGACATCATATCAAAAAGTTACGGGCTGCGGCTTCCGGGATATTCAATCATAAAGACGAAAAATAACCCGCCAATAATGCTGGCAAACATTTAGAGAAATAACTAACAACAACATTCAGCTGCAAAATCAAACAATCCGTCCAACCTACTGTAATTTCCAAAGGACAGGTGATTACTTACTTGTTCGATGGAAAATTTAATTAATTGAATCATTTGATTACAATGTATTTAAACGGGGAGGCAGATTAGCGTCTGAAGCTGGCACATGCTTTGTAGTATCTCAGGGAAATAGTATGAAGTTTTTCATTTTTGTTTTTGTGACAACATTGAACAAAATGTAAACTGTACGTGTGGATTGATGTTTATGAATATCCATTTAACTTATACATAATTGGAGCATTTATCAAGATTGAGAGTTATATAAAAAACAAATCTGGAATCAAATGTGAAACTTGTGCACAAAAGTACGTCCACGGTTCTTGTCAAGATGTATTTTGGCAAGCGTTACTCAGAACTGAGAGAAAAATATATAGACTAATCCTTGACATGATTTCCATATGCATGAATGACCAATCGCATCTTTGGTTAAATTTTATTTTATTGGAGTTGAAATCTCTAGGAAATGTAAATGTGTATCCACAAACAATGCTAGGAGTTTTTTTTACTACTGATAAACTTATGTGTGGTAATATAACAATCGCACGGCAGATGAACTTGCACTTACCAGTATATTTAATGTTCTTCTTCTTCTTTATTTTTACTTTTATATCTTCGTGGATATTGTGCGATAATAAATTAACATAGGATTTGCATATGATCTGTTTTTATGTTTAACTAATAAAAAAGAAAAAAATGTAGAAAATATCACAGTTATTGGATGAAAAACAATGACAAGAAATAAAAGAGAGGATGAGAGAGGTGCACTCCTGGTCCTCACAAGAAATAGATTACATTGTATAGATAATTCTGTATCGTGGCAAATAAATTAGATTGATATTCATCCTTTATATAGTCTTATGTCACATTTATACGTGTAGCTTTTTTTTCCTCTTTAGGGATGTCATTTTTTCATATTTTCCTCTTTTAAGCAAAGTTTTTTTAACTGGAAATTTAAAGTTCCCCTGGTATCTTGTTTCAAAATGGAGTCCTTCCCTAGATAATACTGTAAATGAAAATATCAGTTCATGTATGTCTACAATTACGGAATGAATATTTCGCTATATCTGCTCGAAGTCTGTCTTCTCGCGTTAAATTTAGAGGTCGTTCGTTTGTCATGTTTTAGGTTATAACGAAGTATAATGAAATGTCGGATAATTTAAGAATTTAGGTATTCATGTCGGCCTGCAGCTACTTGTATATATATCGTTCTTTCATTTCATCCTTAAGTTTTTTTCTTCGGAACCGCTGTTTCTTGGTACGCCATTGTTTTACGTTTCTTAGCTTTCTTTCCAAAACATCTGCGGAACCATTCTGTATGTCGAACGTTCCTATGCAAATAGCGTAGATGTCTTTGCAAAGTTAACAGGTCCAGTAACACGATCGTGCCGCAAACTGCCACAAGGATGATTATGGCGAAAGAGCCGATGTATTCTGCTCCCTCGGCTTCAAGGGGAGGAGTCGACCCGACGCTGGCCTTTGGCAAAGTGCTTCCAGTGGCTGTATAAGGAATAAAAATGTCTGGTTCGGTCTCTTTGACTCTCTTTTTACCATGTGCTTTGTCTGTTTGTATGTGTGTTAGTTCCTTTTATCCAATTAAAACAACTGCATTGTTCTCGTAAACGCCTAAATGCCAAGGTTGTTTTGAATAAAATGCACTTATAAGTTAAAGTCTGTGTTATCTACAAATTACACTGTCCGGAATATTTGGTCTAATATCATATACATAAAGAAAAAAACAATCTAAATAGCATTAAACATAAGATTTACCTCCACATGCTTTGATATTCGGAACCCATTGACCCGAGTCGGAGCATCTACCGATCCTTTTCGTTCCACCTTCCGGGAAAACTGTTCCATTCTTGCAATAATATGTAACCAACGTGTTATATACGGTTGGTTCTGTATAGATTACCGTGTTCACGTTTGTGATGTTTTGAAGCTCGTTTTCTTGGCAGATTACAACTGAAAGTACAGTATAAAATTTTGTTTAATAAGAAGAAGAAGAAGAAAAAGAATGATAATGTTTTACTGTGAGAGTAGCAAATCGATGGAAAAACCTACCAAAACAAGTGGTGAATTATATGTTTAATCAGTACATACGTTCAAAAATGAATGAATGAATAATTAAATAAATAGAAGAAAATAAAATAAAAAGTAAGAACAGATAAAATTTGGGGTGGGCATGAGGTTCTCTATAATTACAAAGTTCGAGACTTAGAGTGCATGAACCTTAACTCACAAAGGCTTGAATCCGATTTCGCTGGAAATAATAATAATAATAATAATAATAATAGCAATAACATCACGGCCACCTCTCCAAGAACAGAATAAACAATACAACGAGACAAATCCAAACAACATTTTCAAATAGCTCTCCACTACTGTTTTGGTTTGACTTTTTGGTGCCCTCCCCCTTTTAGCAAGACCCTATACTCTGGAGATCCATCAGCAGATGAAAAGCAACTGATAAAAAGTCCCGTTGACACCGTACACGGTAGCAAAAACTCGTATTCAGTTCTATTTTTTAATCCATCGTCATTTCATTAGACTACCAGTACTTCTTTATTTCCAGAATAACTCAAAAGTTAAAAACCTAGAACTCAAACATGGGATAATGGATCGACAATTTGAAACCGGCTCTGGATACGGCATACCTTTTTGATTGAAGGGAAAGTGATAAAAATTTCCGGAAAATCACAATTTTGCTTTATTTATTCATGAATGTTTATTCAAAGTCATAATGTTCCTGATTCCTCTGCCTTTAGTTGACACTAATTGGTTCCCTAAGGACATATGCAGGAATGATTCTGGCGTTAATGGGATTTTGCTCGATATGATTCATTAAGAAGACATTACAATGTCATCAAAACACCGCCAGTGGGAAACCACGCACATGCCTTATAAATGAGTGATATCCTTACACACGTAACAATAACACTACAGAAACACAACATATGCCGAGGTTGTGACAGTTAATTGCTCTATACAGTATATTTAACAAGAAATACTAAACCAATTAGGATCGTCCAGCTTAATTATATCTAATTCCATCATTAAAGTGAACATCGTATCAGGACACAGGCATGTGTATTGATTTTTCTTTACTCAAGTTTTGATACCTGTACTTCCGGACAGTTAAATCAAGTCGAAGATACACACTGGACAATAGAAGTGTCACCCCTACTGAACCAATACTTTGGGGGAGATAAATGACTGTGGAATGATATGCTCCTGGTATCAATTTATTAACATCAAATTTCACAAAAAGACCAACAATACAATTCCATGGTGAAGCGGTTTCATACTCATTAGTCACATCATAAGTAGACCAGGCATTATAACTTTGATTACTCTGATTCAGGGGGTGACACTTCCATTGTCCAGTGTGTGCAGAAGTAGAGGGCTATAAAGGAAGTCTATCTGGCGGCATGGCAACTGTTTCATAAGTGTTCAAAAACCCACCATACATCACTGAACAACATCCCCACTGGTACACTGCTACATATACTGTACAAAGTCCGATGGATTTATGCTAGACTTTTCACTCTCTGATTACTATGACATTAATCGAAACGCTTTAGACTGCATTTCCATAGATTAAGATAGATCCATGTAGATCGACCTAACTCCCTGGGGGTTCACGGTAAATTGCTGTAAGCCGAGCGCGGTAGTTAATTGCCTCCTTACAGCTTTTAGTAGTCGGGACAGACATTTAAGTCGGCTAAGCTGACAGTAATCTAGTGAGACTCCCCATAGGGATAGATCGATCTAAAATCTGTGGGAATGGGGTCTTAGATCACAAATGTTAGTTATCGTCGAAGTATGCTACAATTGTAGCTCAAACAGTAATCCTTCTTGACTACCATCTACTGATAGACCTGTGTGACGTGATAAAGCGTCAACTCCCCCCCCCCGCCCGAAAAAGAGTCCGGTTCCCATTAATTTGGACAGGTAAGCCTCGGCCTAGATTTTGACCCACTTACGTCAGGCTAACCCTTACCTGTGTGATTAAATTTGCCTTTAGAACGATACATTGTTTAAAGGAAAATAATGCGCGATTAACATGTATTTAGTAACTGAGCTCTTAATTTCTAATTTAATTACCATTCTCCTTTCCCCATTACTATACAGTACCAAAGTGACTCAAATTATCTTGGTGACTACAATATTATTGCTTATATCAGATATTCTGTATGGTTTATTCCATGCTGTAGAAGGGCCTGGTGTGACCTAATGATGTATCCGAGTAAATAGTTCTTGATATTGCCAAAAAGCCAAAAATTGTACAACGTTATTGACGGAGGGCGTGACAGGTGTATTAAAGTGTTTTGTTGGAGTTGTACGTGGTAGGGAATACGATAGGTAGATTGCGCAAAATAATGATAATAATAACAATAACAATAAATAACAAAAGACAGAAGCATTTCAGGGACATCGTTCTGAACTCCTCACATATAGCTTATTGAGCATCGTGCGAAAACAACAATGTGCCCATTACACTTTACATCATTTTGCGCCGCCATTATTGATCGATTTGACGTTTACTACTTGATTCAAGTACATCTAAATCCATTCCCGAGACAATGTCACGTAATTTTGTTTTTAGGTTGAATTCCGGATGTTATAAAATATAAATGGTATTAGGGAATGGAACGAGCTTGTCTTTATGAAATCGTAAAATGGTAAGGTGTCGAGCAGAATTAGTGATAATGGAGTATTCCTGCTAGGTTGACGGTGGATATAGATTCTTTTATACAACCATCGAATGTATCGTTCTTGGTGTTTTGACTGTATCTTTATAATGGTAACCATTAATTTCAACTTGGAGCAGATGGATTGCGCATTTTGATATAGCCTGTCAGCGACAGCAGTAGCTGTGACAGAGACAGGGGAAGCAGTATGTTAGAAAGAACCAGGCAGTATCTGTTATTAAAAAGTGATGGAATTTTTTGGAATTCTTTTCATACTGTGTTTATTTTTTTACATACAATGAACGTATACAACTAGAAAGGGGAATTTCAGCATTATTACCTTTGCCACAAAAAAAAAAAAAAAAAAAAAAAAAAAAAAAAAAAAAAAA